CCAAGAAGAATGAACAGCTGAATTCCAAAAACATCAGCAGTTTCCAGAATTTAAAATCCTGAATCATGACAGAACACTGGTGGAATTCATGTTTATCTGGTACATGGACTACTTTCACTGAATGTGAGGTTGAACTGTGGGCCTTGTGTACATCCTACTTTACAAATGTGTCTGTCAGATACACTAAGCCTATAGGCTGAAGATGATGCCCTAATGCTATGGAGAAACCTCAGGTGACTGTCCAGGCAGCTGGCTGTTTCTGTCAACTCACATGTTTTTTGGAAGCCACTTGCTTGCAGTTCCTGTTTTATTAGGTAATATTATTTCCTCCTTGGGTCCCTGAGGGAGTTGAAGATTAGATAGTTATAGTTAGAGTTAGTTGAAGATTAGAGAGTTATACTTAGAGTTTGTTGAAGATTAGATAGTTATAATTATGGTTTTCCTTGTTAAGAATTTCAGATAAGAAACTCACTAAAGAGGTGTAAGTGTATAAAATTCAAAGACAATATAAGATAGTTCTCTGTTAGTAATATAAGTTAGTATAGAACGTGATTCAGGTACATTACTTACCAAAATAGGATAGCTAATAGAATATTTTCTCTGAGTTTGTCATATACAAATGGACTAGATGTTGTTGAGGTATTTATTACTTATTTATATTATATATAGTTATTGTACTTATTGAATATAGGTTTTTTATATTAGATACAACTTTTTCTATTTTCTTTTTATTAGAATAAAAGTGGGAAATGTGATGATATTTTAATTGTTCTGAAATGTGATTTTATTTGTATGTTAATATATAAAGTTTGCCTGGAGATCAGAGGTCACATAAAGAGGTCACATATCAAGCCAGGAACAGCAGTCAGGCAGTGTAGCTCTCATGCTTAATCTGATCATATGGCAGCCAGAGTTTCTGTGTGGTCAAGGACACAGCCAAGTGGAATGACATGAGCCTTCAATCCCAGTACCAACCATAGAGACCTAGAGGTCTGTATAGACAGGCAGTGATGAGGAAGTCAAGAGCCTGGGCTTAGAACCAATGACAAGGCAGAACAGGAAGGCAATAAAAACACAGCTTATATGGGAGGAAGTTCTCTTTGAGGAAGCAACTGTGGTGAGGAGGTAAGATAAGGTTAGTTGTGGCTCTTCGCTAGTTCTCTGATCTCTTTGGCTATTACCTCTGAATTTGGCTCTGTGCTTCTTACTTAATAAGACTGTTTAGAAATTTGTCAACAGATAAACTCTGGTTTATTTAAAGGGAGTTACAGGTCATTTACCAGAAGTGACCATGGTGGGTGGTGCTCAAAGTTTCTAACAAAGTAAATGTTTAACAGACTGGATTATAGAATAAATGTTATCAGATTTTTTTGGTTACTTGGTAGAAAACAGGTCCCTCCCTGATACCAACAACACAACAAATCACAATTCTATGACTGGTCATTGCTGCTGGGTTCACATCCTTGACAATGACACTATCTCTGACAGTGACAGTGGAACCCTGAGCCAAGATGACCTCCTGAGGATCTCCATCCCACTGGACTCCAACCTGAGGCCAGACAAGTGCTTTGTCCAACCACAGTGGCATCTGCTTCATCTGAATGGCACCTTCTCCAATGTGACAGAGCCAGACACAGAGCCCTGTGTGGATGGTTGGGTATATGAACAAAGCACCTTCCTCTCCACCACTGTGACTGAGGTAAGTGCCTTCTATAATATCAACCTCTGCAGTTCGGCAATATCACAAATAGTGTGTGTTATTGGAACTTACTTACTGCCTGATTCAATACAAGAGTCTTATTCAATAATTTAAATGACTCAAACATAAATAAAGATGTATGTTTCTGATCTTTTTGTTCTAGTAATGATCTCATGTTAAGAAGTAATACTTAGAAGAAAATTAGACAACAGAACAATTTAGCAAAATAACAACAGTAGCTTCTTCCTCAGGACCTTTCTCCTTCTAAGTCATGGGATTCTAAGTAACCTTACATTTTCAGGCATGACTTTCTTCCTCTGTAGAAGGTCAAATATAATCAGAAATGGGTGTTTTCATATAACAGTTATGTCACTATTGTACCAGTGACCACGCTGTCACATAGGTTGGTATTGTAGTGTAGGGTAAAGTGCTAGATAAGGCCATTGACAGCTTTTCTCTACCTATAGTCTACATAGCAACTATGAAAGGTATCCAACAAGGAGAAAGTGTCCAGTTTAGTTTGACAGTGTTCTCTATGTCATGCAAAAAAAATGTGTGTGAAGTCTTCAGGAACAAAGTCTTAACATTTAGTTACTGTAGGTAACCATGAGCAATAGTAACAACCTGTGTAGTTTTGGAGACCAGTGGGACCTTTCTGACAAGCAAGTAGTATAACATTATTCTGTATGCCTGGCACTGGGATTACTGCTTAACATCAAAGGTCTTTTTGGAGCATCATTGTCCAACCAAGTATTGTACTTCCTTTCAAATTCCCTATTTTAAATTATATTTTGAAATGAGCTTACTCAAAAGTGAATTTTCATAAATTTACAGATATCCTTCAGAGAGATGCTGGAGGAAGGTATTGGAGGGAAGATTGAGAAGGATGGGAGGGATGTGATTATATTTTAGTTTAAAATTTTTAAAAGCAATAAAAAGATTTTGAAAGATGAAGAAACATCCAAATATATAAACTCACAGAAATAGTAGTTACTTGCACAAGACCAGCACAAGATTAAACCAATCAACATTCCAGCATAGACTGAGACAGAACTCAGAAGCCCCCACTCCTAGCTGAAGATCCATTAGGAGTTGATTGTTGCTAGGGCAGGGACTATTACCCTACTTTGGGGGGATGGCCAGTACTAGGTTACCTATGCTCCAGTGCACATACAGGCAACATTAAGCAAATACTAGACTATAGAAAAAAAGAAAAGGGACATGAGTTTTGGAAAGGAATGTGATCAGAAATTTCAGAGGTAGTTGTAGGGGATAAAAAGGTTGGATACTATCATAGTGCTTGTATACATGCACGAAATTTCAAAGAATAAATTAAATAATAATCAGAAAATATATGTAAAAGACATCATTCTTGTGTCTAATTAGTTTAAGTGCCCAAGTGTTGTGACAACCAAGCACTATTCAGATTTGATTTAAAATTTAAAACATATAGGAAGTTGTACAAAGCCACACTTGTGGCTAAATATGAAGGTCTATGGCAGAATGCATCTGCAGCACTTGTGAGGACCAAGATTCAGTACTGAACACTGCAAAAAAAATCCCAATAGTTCACATTTCCTTATAGACCAGAATGTGGGTGATTGCTAGTACACTGCACCCATGCAGTTGCCCTGAGCTCCATCCTCTGTATTTACAAAAGTTTACAAGTAAATAAATAAAACAAAAACAATGATCAGGCACTAGTTGTCCTGTACTCTGAGAGGAGTCATAGAAGAGGCTGTGCACTGATGAATAGGATCTGGTATAAAAAAATTAAGGTTCAAAAACATTGCATTCTAGGGTCACTGTAGACTAATTTCTTAATGGTCTTATTAAATAAAGAACATGGAGCCAAATATAGGGATGAATGCTGAAAGATCAGAAAAACAGAACAATCCAAACCAAACCTCACCTTGCCAATTACTCAGCTTATTTCCTTAGACTGAAAGCCTCTGTGTCCTCATCTGAAAGGATCTCAGCTGAATTGCTGCTAAACGCTAAAAGCTAAAAGTTTCTGGTCCTCATGCCTTATATACCTTTTTGCTTCCTGTCATCACTCCCTGGGATTAAAGTCATGTCTCACCATGCCTGGCTATTTCCAGTGTGGCTTTGAACTCACAGAGATCCATTTGAATCTCTGCCTTTGGAATGCTAGGATTAAAGGGGTGTGCTACCACTGCCAAAACCTATGTTTAATATGATAGCTGCTCTGTCTCTGACATCAGATAAATTTATTGGGGTGCACAATATATCAACCACAAGCCACATTTAAGAACTTCTTAGCACAGGTTACAGGTTACTACTATAACCTATATAATTAAGGAAAGACTCCTGGGAATATATATATATA